GCAATAGGATGAGAGGAAGTGGCCTCAAGTTTGCGTCAGGGGAGGTTTAGACTGGATGTTAGGAAACATTTATTTACGGAGAGAGCAGTCAAGCATTGGCACAGGCTGCCCAGGGAGGTGGTGGAGTCACCATCACTGGAGGTGTTCAAAAAACGTGTAGACGTGGCACTTCAGGATATGGGTTAGTGGGCTTGGCGGGGTTGGATTAATGGTTGGACTTGATGATCTTAAAGGTGTTTTCCAACCTTAATGGTTCTGTGATTCTGTAAAAAGCAATGCTCCTCTACATCTGGGGCTGTAATTACTGCTTAAAGCTTTTCTTTCTATATCACTTTTAGAGCATTTTTATTTTAGACCTTTTCCTACATTCATGTCAGCCTGTCTCACAAATGCTATTGATGGTGTTTTTAAAGCAATAATTATGATTTTTATTTTTTCTGTGCCTCCCTTAAATGGTTTAAAATCTTTCTGACAAACCCGCTCAAGACACCTATTTAGTGTCAAAGAGCATAACGTTCCCAAGTTTTAAAAGGGCTCTCGCATAATACTGATCGATCAATGTGCTCCTTGGGAAAATAGCCCTCCAGATGGTCTATCGGGACAGGAATTGCTGGTCATCACAATGCAGAGCCAAAAAGCGTCACTAATGTGGGCTGTTGTGAGGCACGCTTCCTTTGTGGTCCCTTTGAATGTCATAAATAGGGAAGAAAGTGTGGGAAACTCTGAGAAACTCAGGCCCACACTCTGAGGTTAATAGGGGCTTTGTCAGGAGCGTATTCCTGGGCTGTGGGATCAGCATAATAAACAACATCTTCCCTAAGGGTGGGAATGTGTTGGAGCAGGGGAGAGTCACCCAAGAGGATAGAGGAGCGATAAGCACCTTTGCGTTCAATTATTATAAGTGATAATAATTAATAAATTGTAAACATAACCTTTGCTGTGCTAAGACTGGTGAAACCGGAGGTCTGGCTTTTAACTCTCAAGTAACTGGTAAACTAAAGCCCAGAGGGGCAAGCCTTTGGTGCAATACAGCAGCAGTGCACTTGTGCCAGCTGTGGAGCTGACTCCCTGGAGCAAATGGAGGCTTTCTGGTGGGGTTTGGTTTCTTCCCCCTGCCCAGAAAGGAGGCACTTACTGTTTCTCTCCCGTACACCACTCTGCGAACAGTCTGAATCTCACATACACTAACAGCTAAGCGTGATAGACTCCCCCGCTATAGCTGGAGTAATGTAGCATGGCCTCGGTGTAATGAGAATGAGACCTTGTGGTTTGAATGACAGTAGACATGTCTCTCCAGATTTATGCCGGTATGGGTGGCAGGAGCTCCGTGCTGGGACGGCTGACTGTGATCTCACAGGAGCCTTGCACAGTTGTCATTTCTATGGCCTGTTCCTGTGCTAGCCTCGAACTAGAGGGACTGGGTTCAAATCCAACAATCTTCAGCTTGTGCAGCTCTTCTTTGGTTTCCTTTTAGCTTTTCCGTTTATGCTGTCAGCTTTAAACAAACTGCAGTGACGCTGCCGACGGTGACATTCACAACATGGTTTACTTGGGTGGTAACGCATTAGCTGCAGAAGACACCCGTCCACATAATAGCAGCAGACTTCTCCGTGCCACGTGTGGCTCTGTTCCCAGTCCCTGTGGTGCACAGTCAGGTTGTGGTGTGCTTTGGAGCACGCTGCATTTTGACTGAGTCTCAACTCCCCCAAACTTCCTATCTGCAGACTGCCTTAATTAGGCTTCATTTAAAAATGCACAGGCAGGTATGAACAGCTTTAATTTTGCTGGCATTCAGAAGCTTGTACTAATTGACAAAGACAAGTTGAGCACAGCAAGGTGAAGTGACTTTTTCAAGATCACTAAGCAACCACAAAATCTAAAAATACCTCTTCTGAATTATTTAGTCGTTCATTAGGAAGAACAAATCTATCTGCAGCGTTGGTATCAGCCCCTGATGAACTGCAGAACTGTACCAAAACCCCACCTTGTATTGCACTGGCAGACAGATGAAGAGCACTCAACCAGCGGGTGCATTCAGGGTAAAATAATAACCCAAATGATCCATGCAACCGTAATGAGGTAGGGCAATATGTTCTTGACCTGGCTAGCTGGCTTTTTGGTCCTTTCCATACGTCTAACAAAGGGTTTCATCACAAATCAAGTGACGACTGGCCAGGCACCGCTAACAGTGTTTGAATGCAGTTTGATCTTGTCAGCTTAGCAGTTCTGAGTTTGGTTAGTGCTTAACTAAGCAGCCATTTGACAAGATCAGATATTCTAGGTTTCCTTTTGTTTAAGGAAAAAAGGATATGCTAGAAACAAAGTTTTTTAAGGACATCTCTGCCAGGGAATCTGAGAAGAGTTGAAATTGTTGACCAATGGTTTTTCATGCTGTTACTATATCTCTGGAAGAATGAGAGGGTTCCCTGTCATATATTCAAATCAATGAATTACTGTGGTTAGATAATAGCTTTGTGAATTGATTATTTGTGCAGATTTGTTTTACGTTGAAGAGAAGGGAAAATAAGAGGTGACTAGTCCCCACTAAGCAATGAATGGGAACTCTTCTAAGTAGAAGTGAGTGAATGTTATTGGGGAAAGTGTGGTGTTTTGGAGAGACTGTTGGTATTTAAGGTGCTCAAGGTTGGCTTTGGGATCCCCTTCTTGTGCTTTCTTCCTGCTTCCCCAAATTCCTTCTGAATCCCTCTTTGTTTGTTCAGCTCATCCATTCCCTCTTTGTGTAGCTGTGTGGAGAAGGACAAGCACATCCTTTACGGAAGGTGCTAATCTTCCTCACATCACCAGAGTGCAGCTGACTTAATCCTCACGGGACAGGAATCGCTTGGCCTGGACATAGAAAATTGCAGAAGAGTCTGGAGCCGAGACTGTGCACGGGTGCTACAGTGCCTCTCTCTGCAGCTCCTGGGAAGCCCAGGCTGCTTGCTTTGGGTCCCCAGCTGGTGCAAGCCGGGTAGGCAGGCTGTTGTAAATCTCCGTGTAAGAGGATATGCTAGATTTGCTCTCTGAATTGAGGTGGGGTGGAAAAATCAAGGGGGGATCATCTAAAAGATACTTGGCAGAGAGACCATCTCTACAACAGGCTGGATAGAAGAAAAACTTGAAAGCCTGGTGGAGTGTGGCTGTTTCTCAACCCCGAGGCACAGGCCCTATTCATGGCATGTTTTGGACCCTTAGGTGGATGTCAGTGAAAGGGAATGTTTGAAGAGAAGAGGAGCATGGGGAAAGAATTCAGGAGAGGAAATGCTTTTTCAATCTCTGTTTGCTATCAAATTATGTATACTTTTAGCCATACACGGGCAGATTTCACTTCAGTAAAGAAAGCTATTCTGTTATTGCCAAACAGAACTCGTGTTTAGGTAACAGAAGGTGCTAAAATTAAAAGACAACAAAAACTAGTTCACCCCATTGTGGTTAGTATCAAAGAGGAGGGTAAGATCCCCAGAGTCAGGGGCCAAACTCTTTGGAAGTTTTTAGGAGTTCTGCATGTTGCTACCTCCTAAATGGACAGAAAGCATAAGTCTGAACTCAGGTTGGTGGGCAAATTAATGGGGAATGGAGGGAGATAAACTGGCTGTCAAACTAGTGATTTGCTGAAGTCTGAATAGGTTGCTGTTAAGTATCTGGGGCTATACCTCTCAGTATCTCACTTCAGTTTCACCTTTGTTTTAATTTTTGATAACTTGTTCAGAGGTTGCTTCTTTGTGAAATTAATTTGGCAGAACAGGATTTCAGATCCTGCAAATATAAACTATACTGGAATGAAGGGCTCAGAAATACGACATCATCTGCTAGCTTCCCCACGGCAGGAGTCTGCATATGCAACACTTAGTCCAGGAGTATTAGCTGTTTTAATCACTTCAAGCCAAAGGATTAAGGGCTAAAACCATTTTTATTGTATTGTACAGTGAAGACACCGAAGTTGAACATCACACAGGATGAATACATCACAACTTTATAAAAGCTTTTTAAGCTCTTTAGCATGTTCAGTGAGTGACTATAATAAAGTACTTATTGCCTCCCTTCCTCCCCCTTTTCCTGAAGGTGTATCGCAGGTATTTCCTTTACAAAAGGCATCAATTATCCCTCAACTGAGAGTAGCGCATACTGACCTTAAGAGAATTTTCCCTAGAGCTACCTGTTATCCTCATAACTTTCTGTAAGAAGGTATACTAAAAATAGCGTAGGAACTTCAGAAGAATCAGCATTTCTTAATAATATCTTTCACTCAAAAGGTAAAGGCTCAATATTCTCTTTATGATAGAAAATACATTCTTCAAAGCGCTCCTTCTTTAGGAACGTCAATACGTTATCTAGAGAGAATGGAGCACTTGAACCAGCGACCCAGGGAGTTAGCAGAAAGATTTCCACTGACAGCCACAGGCTCAACAGCCTTGCCAAGCAAGAGAGTGATGGAAGCTGAAGGGCGTTTGGCGCTCTCAATCACCGCAGAACTTGGTCCTCTCTTTGGCTAGGAGCCACCACTAAAAGCAGCAAATTCGCTGCAAGGTACAAACACATGCCTTCATTATGAAGGGAAACTACTCGGCGACCCTCATTTCTTGTGACAGAAAAACAATAACCACCCCCCCCTCCCGCCTTTGGAAAGCAATGTTTCCTACTTTAAAGAGGAACTATTAAATCACAGGTCCCTCTAGTTTTTGTAGCAAAACACAGAATAAAACACAGTTCAGCAG